ACATGTATATCTTTTAGTTATTGATTTTTTTTAGTGTCAAGTTTGGTGTTGTTTTTATTTTGCAGAGTGGGGGAAGTCTGAGTACCCAAAGTTGAAGCTGAGGAGCATGTTTGAGCTTAAGTGTGGGGTCGTCCCGACCCTTAATATTGAGGATCATGTCTGAGCTAGGCCCGAGAGGGTCTCAGGGAGTATTTCTCACCTTTGTTTTAATATTTCTCTATGATCATGCATCGAGGACTATGCATAATATAAGTGTGGGGTGGGGAAACTACTTTCTGAAGTGTAATTGTATAAAACTATTTTTTTTAGTTTTTCTTTTATAACTTCTAGTAGAAATAGTCTAGGTAAAAAAAACAAAAATTGAAAAAAAAAAATTGTGAAAAAGTTCAGACTTTTCCCGACGATGGATCTTTTGGACAATTTTCTTGAGGGATAAAAGTCCGATTTAAAAAAACCAAAAAGATTTTTTTTTTGAATAGCTAGGTAGTATTCCTTGGTTTTTCTTTAGGCACCGGTTCTTTTCCAAGGATGTAGCTCGAACCGGGCACTTTATGTTTTTTTAGGAGTAGTTTAGGAAGAATCTGAGTCGCTCCGAGATACTTATTGACATGGTTGATGCTGGCACATTAGGCTATGACATACATTCTGTTTTCCTGTGTATTTGGTTTGAATTGTGAAGCCTAACTAAAGTAAATAACCTATTTTGTGACGCCTTTTCTCAGTTGTTTGACTCGTATGCCACATAGTGCAATATTGCTTAAATTTCTCAATTATGTGTGCTTGCTTGACTTGAGAGTTGAACAGAACCGTCTTGATTGAGTCATGTGCAACGTGTGTGAGAGGAATTGTAATTTTCTATGCTATCCTGTGTAGTCTAGAACTTGCCCAGTGTGTTAATTGAAGCGAAATTGTAAGTGTGCTAATCTAGGAGATGACGTGGGCATTTTCTTGCTTGATCATGGATATACTTGTCACATAAAAATAAAATTTTCCGTTGCTAGCCACTTTGAGCCTATAGACCTTTCTTTTGGCACCCATATTACAAGCCATACCCCTATTTTGTTCTTAATTTGATATTGATTGAACCTTTATCTCCTAAGGCACTTAGTCGCTAAAAGAAGTAAGGTTAGAGATTGAGGAATAGCTTTTGAGGGGAACCATGGAAGGACCCGTTGGTGCACTACAGTTGAAATCAAAGACACTAGCCAAAGAACTTTATTGTATGGAGTGTGTGAAGAAAAAAAAGAGAAAGGAAAAGAAAAATTGAAAGAAAAGAAAAAAAAATGATAGTGAAAGTATGTAGAAAACACCTCCAATTCTTAATAATTTGTGCTAGTGGGAGTATAGAAGTGCTTGAATGAACGTAAGGGCTATGTTGTGTATGGCAAGTGATTTGGTTGAGAAGAATATGTGCTTGAATTGTGAATGTAGTGTATTAAAGTGCTTAGGAGGGAGACACTATTTCTAATTGTATCATACCCGTCCCTTAGCTTACATTACAACCTAAAAGTCCTAATTGATCCTAGATTTGGCTAGCTTAAATTAGTAGAGACATACACTACGGGCAAGCTTATGGTATGACCACGGGATGCATATGAATTCTTTGTGAGAGTGAGTGAATTTGGTTCAATTGTGCAATGTCCTTAATCTATATTCAAAAGTATATTTGAATGTATGGACCATCTATAGTACTCTTTTGTTTGTTGGTAAGAGCACATGATCTCATGAATGATTGGTAATGTTGTAAACTTTCTTGTTAGGTAAGTGCATGAATTGAGGGTGCTTAGTGGTTACAAGTCGGCTTTTGAGGTTGGGTGGTGAAAAATAGGTTGTTGGAATTGATTGAAGTGAAATATTATACTTGGGCAAGCTTAGATGGGAATAATGTGAATTTTTGTGTGTTCATGCTTGTGTGCCGGTATTGATCATTGTCTAGGGTATAGTGTGTGGGTAAAAGTTAAAGTACTCCTCTATAATTGATACTTGTACGTAGTTGGGGGGTTTATTAGATAGTCCCATTGCTCGAGGACGAGCAACATTTAAGTGTGGGGTGTTGATGATAGGCTATAATTACGTATTTTAGTCGATTATTACACTCAAATTTACTGCACTTTGATTGAGTTTGAGCTTTAATCGCTAGTGTCTTGCACTAACTGTGTATTTTATGCCTTGTAGGAGTGATTCCGAGCTATATAGATGTTATGGAATGAATTCAAGTGATTTAGAGATTTGAAGTCTGAGTAAAAGCTCAAGGAATTAAGCCGGAATCGTGTTTGGGGGTCAACGGATGATAGTTAGAGCGAACGAAGAATCGAGTAGGCATATTGCGCACTGTCTAGTAAAATAGATATAACTTTTTGCTCAGAACTCCATCTGGTCTCCACAATATGTGTCTGGAATGCTAACTCCAAGGGCTACAACTTTTATGTTTTATGTTTTTCCAAATTCCAAATGGAACGGGGCAAAACGCGCAAGATTTGAGCCAAAACGAACGAAACCGGGAAAAAGGGCTAGTTGGGCGCCACAGGCAGCACCTGGCGCCACCTGTGGTGCCGAAAACAGTGTGCACAAATAATGGGGCGCCGTGGAGGGCGCCTGGCGCCCGGCTGGGCGCCGGTGACGTAAAATGTGTCCTATTTTGCCCGGGACAAGGTTATTTCGGCCCTAGACCTACCCAACACGTATAAAAGCAAGACTAAATCTATTTTTGAAGGGGGAGGCGCCACTTTGGAGTAAAAACACACACGGGATCGTGAGGAAGCGGAGAATTCTCAGTTTTCTTCATCTTTTTCTAGTATTTTCAATTGATTCAATAATTATGCAATTTTTTGATTACATCATGAGTGGCTAAACACCCATTGTTCTGGGGTTGTGATTTAGCCATGAATATTGTTGTTTGATATTAGCTTGACCTTGATTATAATTCACCAACATATGGTTGTTTCTTCAATTCTGTGTTTAATTGCTTAATTGTCTGGCCAGCAGTTAGGTTCTATTTACTATCTATGCTATGCTTGGGAAAGCCGTGTTTAGATTAGAGAAGAATTAAAGAGAGCATGATCTTAACCCTTAGGGGGGGGGGGGGCGGATTTGTGGTTAGGATAGGAATATACCTAGTCACCGTGCTTAATTGAATATCTTAATCTTAATGCGTTCTTAATAGATTGATTTCATAGGAATATAGGTGTTAATCTATTGAGAATATGTGAGTAGTACTTCGGGAGAAGGCTATGAGAGCATTTATCGATTAATTAGCAACCATGAGTAAATTATATGAAAGGGAGAGTTAATTAGAACACAATACGAATGGTGAATCGATCACAACCCTGGAATAATTGTCTCTACTGAATACACAACAATCAACTCGTTACTTGATAATTTAGTTATTATTTAGAATCGTAGTATAGTATAATCATATTATTGGACTTTGCTTTTAGCTAGACTGAATAACAATTTTTTAGTGATTTAGTGAGTAGTTTACACAAGTCTCTGTGGGTTCGACACTCAAATTATTATTATATTACTTGTCGACCACGTATACTTGTGTGTGCGTTTGGGAGCAACACTTACGATTATGTTCCTTCTCCGTTTGTCTTACCGGAAAACCGAGATGTTTAACGGGCTCGATTTTACCCGCATGCAATAATATTTTTTTAGTTTAAATAACTATTTAAGTTAAGAACAACCACTTTTACAACGTGTAATTAAAAATAAGTCACACTTTGAATATTAATTAAGTTTAGCCATTTTTTTAATACTTGGACAAAAATTCCCTTAAAACCACGAGCGTGCTCTCCTGAATGAAATTGGTATACAAAATATCCAGCACAATTTCAAACATTTACAAGTGAAGCTTCAGTATATTATGCTAGAGTTTATGCAAATTTTCTTATGGTTATGTAATTATTCTTGCTTCACACAATATATGTGATTCTGCGATAAGGTTCGTTTATGGCTTAGCAGCGAGGAAAAAGCATATGGTCTTAAGACTGCTTAGCGACGACCTTTTTCCTTTGTCAAGCAGTGTCTTTACATTATGATTTGAAGTACATAAGATTAACTCCAGCCATGGGAATTACGACCCCACAACTGGTCTCTTCAACTAAATAAGCTTCAATTAATTACTATGTGTTGATTTTCACACCTCGCAACACTTACACGATGGTGTCTTTGAGTTTTTTAGTGTTATCACCGATGGGGGTTCCCTTTTAGAAGAATTAAAAGGATGGACTTGGAGAGCAATTTTAACATCGACTGTTGGGGTGAATTTTCGAAGCCCAACACTTTTTCCTGGAGTCTCCAACATTTTTTCTAAACTCCAATATTTTTTTGTGAGTATTTTTTCATAAACTCTTAGCACAATGTATTGGATTTTATTAGTAAAAAAAATTATGCTGAAGTTTTTCCGTGTTTCAGTTTTATTTTCATATTAAATAGTGATCATTTTCAATTACATTGTAAACGCTTGCTATTTATTACTACTACTTAATATGAAAATTGGAATTTTTACTAAAATTAAAGCCGAATGGAAAGTACGGAGCCCACAGCATAGCCATGCTGGAGGGAGGAGACCTCGTTGACCACAAAAAAAGTCACATGTTCACGTGTCATTTTCACATGTCAACACGTGCCTCAATAGTCAGCCAACGATCTGTGCTGTAATTTCCTGGTGACGTGGCATCTTGTGACTAGACACTTAGCAGATAACCCTCCTATTGCAATTTGCACAAATTTGCCAAAATCCCATAGAGAAGAAAGCAGAGCGAGTCATAAGGCTATGTTTAAGCAAGTAACTTATTCTGATTTGCATATCAGCAACCATATCACTTTTATAGCTCACGTTTCTCCACGTGGAAATCAATGCTATACCCAAAGAAAAGCACGTGGATAAATAAAAGTGTCATATAGTAACTTTCAAAGAAAATAAAACATGTGCTTATATAGGTTTCTTGTAGATTTTTTTGTTTGTTTCCTTCTCTTAAACCTTAGAACATCTCCATCTCTAGCTCTATAGTCTCTTTTTTCATTTATCACATCCATGGGTTGCCACTTTCTTGATGTTAGTTAATAATATTAGTAGTTTTCACATAACTATAATTTCCTTTTCCTTATACTTTATTGTAATCATCGATCGTGTTTAATTTGAGTTTCTTGTTTAGTTTGGAATTGAGACATAATTGATTGACCGTTAACGTTCTTGAGTCTGATACGAAATTTTTAAATGTCGTCTGATCTAATGGAGCCTCTATGTGATGTATGTGGGTTGGAGAGGGCAGTGGTGTACTGTAAACCAGATGCAGCTAAGCTTTGCTTTCATTGTGATGGAAGTGTACACTCAGCAAATTGTTTATCTCGAAAACACATTCGTTCTCTCATTTGTGACAATTGCAGTTCAGAGCCTGCAATTGTACGTTGCATGATTATGGAAATGTGTTTATGTGAACGCTGTGATTCGAATACAATTGGTTGCAATATGGTATCAGGGCATCAACACGAGAAGTTGGATTCTTATAGTGGATGTCCATCTCCAGCTGAGTTTATGACAAAGATTTTGTCAACAGCTTTTGATGAAATGTCTAATAATAAGGTACATAATCTTAGTAGATTTGATACTGCTAGCTCATTAAGTGTCAATGAGAATAATTGCTCAATGGTGGCTAGCAAACTCAATGAATTTGCTTCTTGTATGAAGTTTGAACCATGGGCAATTCCTTCTTCAGTAATTCCTTCAAATTCCACATACTTGACAACCTACAACATAGATCAACCAGCATTCTCAGATGGATCTAGCCTCCCTAAGGTTGGTATGCTTTCTTTTTTTATTGTGTATTTATATCATTAGCAGTTCTAGGGTTTAACTTATATATACTGATAGTATAAAGAATTTTCACACTATCAATGTTACCTGTTGTAGCAAAACTTGCCTTATTTTTCAGGTTTCTTATTCAACTTAATATGGACGGTTACCTGTAATTATTTTTTTAAGTGAGTTGTCAGTTTATAGAAGTTCAACTCTATGCTATAAAGACATGCCTAATTGCTGAATGCATTAACTGATAGTATCAAAAAATTTTACACTATTAGTGTTACCTGTTGCGAAGAGGTGGCTTGGAGCAACACTAAAATATTTTTGTGTGACCTATAGATCATAGGTTTGAATCGTGAAATTAGGGTAGACTACCTACATCACACCCTCTAGGGGTGCAACCCTTCCCCAGATCCTGCGTGAAACCGGATGTTTTGTGCACCAAGCTGCCCCTAATTGGGGAATGCGTTGACAAGTAATAATCAGTATACACTAATTGTGCTTTATTTATTTGCTGCAGCAAAGTAGTACTACTATTAAAGATCATGAAATTTATGGAGCTAATGATCTTGCGGGGGATGTTGATTTGGACGAATTGAGTTCCAATTCTAGTTACAATATTTTCAGCAGTTTACAACAAAGTCATTCAAGATATTATAGTGAAGACAGGGGATTGGATTGCCTAGTGATGGAGAAAAATTTATCTGTCATTGGGCCTAATAGTCATGTTGAAACTGCACTAGAGGTACTTCTCAGACCTATAATTGTGCTATAATATATAACTTCTTTAAAAGAGCTTTAAAAAAATACACCAAATGAATTAGACATTAATTTTTTTTAAGGGGAGCCTTGGTATAACTGGTAAAGTTGTTGCCATGTAACCAGGAGGTCACGGGTTCAACCCGGGGAAATAGCTTCTTGCAGAAATGCAGGTGCAAGGCTGTGTACAATAGACCCTTGTGGTCTGGCCATTCCCCGGACCCCGCGCATAGCGGAAGCTTAGTGCACCGGGCTGCCCATATTTGTTGTTTTTTGTTCTTGAATATGATTACAAGAAGGGAAGCCTTGGAGCAATGGTAAAGTTGTCTCCGCCTGACCTATAGTCACGGGTTTGAGCCATAGAATCAGTAGTTAATGCTTGCATCAGGGTAGGTTGTCTATATAATACCTCTTAGGGTATGGCCCTTCCCTGAACCCTGCATGAAGCGGAATGCTTCGTGCACCGGACATGCCCTTTGTTCTGGAATATATGATACAAGTGCATACTTTAGATTGTTTTATAAAATGTTACTTACAAATGTGCTTAATCTTTAATTGTAATTTTGTTGTGTATTTTGTTAGGCACCATCTTCAGTGAGTGGAACTGCTAATTCCATGTTTATGAATCCAAGTTGTAATGGAAACACTGGCTTAGCTTTTACACAAGGACCAGTTCATTCAAAGTCATTGTCACTCTCCAACATCACCACAGAAAGTAGTGACGCAACTGAGTATCAAGATTGTGGGTTTTCGCCACTCTTTCCGCCTTGTGATTGGAATTCAGAAACTAGTTGTCTACGGGCAAGGAATGAAGCCAAGATGAGATACAATGAGAAAAAGAAAACTAGAACGTAAGTAGATCCATTCTGGTTTGTGTTCTTGAATCAATTCCATATACCAAAATACTAATGAAGGGGAGCCTTGGCGTAACTGGTAAAGTTATTGTCGTATAACCAAGAGCTCACAAGTTTGAGCCGTAGAAACAGCCTCTTGTAGAAATGCAGGGTAAGGCTGCATACAATAGACCCTTGCGGTCCGATCGAATCATGCGCATAACAGAAGCTTAATGCACCGGGCTGCCCTTTATACCAAAATACTAATGCTTTGCTTAATTGAGATTTTCCATTATGTTGATTAGCTAAGTGATTATTTTGACGAGTGTTTATTTTGTGCAAATCATGATTTTTGCCTTTAATTAACATTCCGTTATTATTATACATCCTTAACTTGCAGGTTCAGAAAACAAATAAGATATGTTTCACGTAAGGTCAGGGCAGATACGAGAAGGCGAGTTAAAGGCAGATTTGTTAAGGCTGGGGAAGCTTATGATTATGATCCATTAGTAACAAGGGATATGTGAGCTAAGGTAGCTGATTTTGGGTTCTTCTACTTTGTCAAAACTTGTCGAAGTGTTAAGGTATCTTAATGTAAAGACACTAAAACCATCAAATTCCTTTATGACAAGTCAGAGAGAGTTTATGCTAGTACCAGAGCTAGAAAATTTGTCATTGGTTGTGTCTGTCAATCCGACTTAGTTATGACAACAAACCTGAATGAGATGTATATATCCTGTGTGCAGGGCGTTGAAGATATAAGTAAGCAAATAAAAGTGTTTCTTCTCTAATATCTAAAGTTTTTCGATGAACTGGTGATCATGACACAATTCAACATGGTATTAGAATAGAAGACGTCATGCGTTCAAGGGAATGATTCAAAGAAAAGATGGTCATTAGAATCTAGAATGTGAGAAAGTACGGGAGAAAATATTATTATTGATTATCTAAAGTGTTACAATGTCCTATTTATATACAATGATTACATAATAATAGGTATCTACTTCCCGTTGTGGGACACTATACATGACTAACTACTTAACACTCCCCCTCAAGCCGGCGCTTATAAATCATATGTACCGAGCTTGTTACAAATGTAACTAATACGAGAACCAATAAGAGACTTAGTGAAAATATCTGCTAGCTGATCATTCGACTTCACAAACTTTGTAACATTATCTCCTGAGAGTATCTTTTCTCTTACAAAGTGACAGTCGATCTCAGTGTGTTTAGTCCTCTTATGGAACACCGAAATTTGACGCAATATGAAGAGCATCTTGATTATCACATACCAGTTCCATCCTGCTAATTTCTCTGAATTTCAACTCCTTGAGCAACTGCTTGACCCAAACTAGCTCACACGTTGCCATAGCCATGGCCCGATATTCTGCTTCGGCGCTAGATCTAGCAACTACATTCTGTTTCTTTCTCTTCTAAGAAACCAAATTACCTCCTACTAGAACACAATATCCAGACGTAGAACGTCTATCGGAAGGTGATCCTGCCCAATTAGCATCTGTGTACCCAAAAATCTGCTCGTGGCCTCGATCCTCGAATAGTAATCCTTTGCCTGGAGCTGACTTTATATATCAAAGAATGCGAACAACTGCATCCCAATGACTATCACAGGGAGAATCCATAAATTGACCTACAACACTCACCGGAAAAGAAATGTCAGGTCTAGTCACTATGAGGTAATTCAATTTGCCAACCAACCTCCTATATCTCGTAGGATCTCTAAGAGGCCCCCCTGTCCTGGAAGAACCTTAGCATTCAGATCCATAGGAGTGTCAACAGGTCTGCAGCCCATCATTCCAGTCTTCTCAAGAATGTCTAAGGCATACTTCCGCTGTGAAATAACAATTGCTGAGCTAGACTGAGCGACCTCAATACCTAGAAAATACTTCAATCTGCCCAGATCCTTAGTCTGGAAGTGCTGAAAGAGATGCTGCTTCAGATTAGTAATACCATCTTGATCATTGCCAGTAAAAACAATATCATCAACATAAACCACCAGATAAATACACAGATTGGGAGCAGAATGCCGATAAAATACAGAGTGATCAGCTTCACTATGAGTCATGCCGAACTCCTGAATAACTGTGCTGAACTTATCAAACCAAGCTCTAGGGGAGTGTTTCAAACCATATAGTGACCTGGACAATCGACATACAAGACCACTAGACTCCCCCTGAGCAACAAAACCAGGTAGTTGCTCCATATAAACTTCTTCCGCAAGATCACCGTGGAGAAAAGCATTCTTAATGTCTAACTGATAAAGAGGCCAATGACGTACAACAACCGTGGAATAAAAGAGACGAACCGATGCTACTTTAGCCACAAGAGAGAAAGTATCACTATAATCAAGCCCAAAAATCTGAGTGTATCCTTTTGCAATAAGACGAGCCTTAAGCCGATCAAATTGGCCATCCGAGCCGACTTTGACTGCATAAACCCAACGACAACCAACAGTAGACTTACCTGAAGGAAGAGGAACAAGCTATCAAGTGCCACTCGCATGTAAAGCAAACATCTCGTCAATCATAGCCATTCGCCATCCTGGATGAGACAGTGCCTCACCTGTAGACTTAGGGATAGAAACAGTGGACAAAGATGATATAAAAGCATAATGAGGTGATGACAGATGATGATAACTTAAACAGACATAATGGGGATTAGGATTAAGTGTGGATCGTATACCTTTGCGGAGTGTAATTGGTTGACTAAGAGGAGACAAGTCTGCAGTAGGTGCGGAATCTGATGCAGGACGTGAATCACCTGGGCCTAATGTTGGACATGGACGACGATGATAAGTCAAGATGGTGGAGCTGCAGATGGTTGAACTGGACTAGGTGGTGGACTTGGAGCTATAGGTGGTAGAACTGGAGCTATAGGTCGTGGAGCTGCAAGTGGAGTTGTAGGTGGTGGAGCTAGAGATGTAGAGGATGATGAATCAGAGATAATGACTGAATCCCCAAAAGATGAAACTAGTAGCACCTCAGAAATATTTAAATGATTACCTGGACCTGTGAAGTATGATTGGATTTCAAAGAAGGTAACATCATCGGAGATAAGGTACCTCTGGAGGTCATGAGAATAGCATCGATACCCCTTTTGTGTTCTCGAGTAACCCAGAAATACGCACTTAAGAGCACGATGAGCTAACTTATCTTTTCCCTGAGTAAGATTATGAACAAAACAAGTGCTTCCAAAGACACAGGGTGGAAGAGAGAATAAAGGTAAGTGGGAAAACAGGACAGAGAATGAAACTTGATTCTGGATAGCTAAATACGGCATACGATTAATAAGATAGCAAGATGTAAGAACTGCATCCCCCCAAAGATGCAACGGAACATGAGATTGTATGAGTAAGCTACGAGCAGTTTTAATAAGATGTCTATTCTTTGTTTCAGCTTCCCCATTTTGTTGAGATGTGTACGGACCAAATATTTAATGAATAATCACACGAGAGTTCATAAACTGCTGAAATAAGGTAGACAAATACTCTAGGGCATTATCACTATGAAATATGCGAATAGCAACCCCAAATTGATTTTGAATTTCAGCGTGGAAGGTCTATAAAATAGAAAACAACTCAGATCGATTTTTTATCAGAAATATCCAAGTACACCTGGAATAATCATCAATGGAACTGACAAAGCAGCAGAATCCTAAGGTAGAACAGACCCGACTAGGACCCCAAACATTTGAATGGACTAAAGTAAAAGGTGACTTTGCTCGATTATCAAGACACTAAGGAAAATGTGAGCGGGTATGCTTACTGAGCTAACATGACTCACACTCTAGAGTGTAGAGGTGAGATAAACCAGGTACCATTTTTTATAGTTTTGACAAAGTGGGTTGTCCCAACCGTTTATGTAATAAATTTGGTGAATCAGTGACAGGACAGGTCGTTGAAGGAAGAAAGATGTGAGTCCATATGATTTTGCGAGGATAAGGTAATAAAGTCCATCTGATTCACGTCTGGTACCAATGATCTGTCCTGTACTGCGTTCCTATATAAAAACAAGGTCATCAAGAAATAAAATAGAATATTTAAGTGATTTGGCTAAGCGACTAATGACTATGAGATTAAAAGGACTACCGCGAACATAAAGAACTGAATCTAAAGGTAAGGAAGGAAATGAACTTGCTTGACCTATTCCAGTTGCCATGGTTTGAGACTCGTTGGCCATTGTGACTGTTGGGAGAGATTGAGAACATGAAATAGTAGTGAAAAGAGATTTGTTACCAGAATATGATCAGATGCGCCTGAATCAATAACCCAAGAATCAGCGGTTGAGGATTGGGAGACACAAGTCACACTACCTTCTGTTTGAACAACGGAAGCTATCCCTGAAGACGTCTATTTACATGCTTTGTACTGAAAGAACTCAATATAATCCGGTAAAGAAACCATCTGGATTGGATTCAATGCATTGGATCCAACGGATTGTGGTTAAAAGGCTTCTGATACGAATGCCATTATAATATTGTATGGGAAAAAGAATTTTTTTTGGGAATTACTGTTCTCGCAGGAAAACTCACTATTCACGCCGGAAAAATTACTGTAGTCATCGGAGAAATCTCAAAGTGCTCAGAATAAAAGGAAAACAGTATGAGCCTGCTCGGAATTACTAGAAGATAAGGCTATCGTGAAGAAACTTTTCCAAAAAATGCCCGAAATACTGTTCACGCGCCGGTGCATGTCCTGATGCGCCGCCGATGTCAGAAGCTCTGGAGGCACGTGAGAGCGCGTGGACGGGTTCTGCCGGTGTGGTTTTTTGGGGTTTGGTCGCCTGAGAAATCCGCACCTACTGGTGGTGTTAGTTTTCGTAAAATACCCACCGGAGAAGGGATTTCGTAAAAAGAGCTTGAAAGTTACTAGAAAAAGGCACGGTGACTGTCTCGGACTCGCTGGTAACTGCATAGCGAGGATTTCTCACTAGTTGCTTTGATACCATGTGAGAAAGCACGTGAGAAAATATTATTATTGATTATCTAAAGTATCGTACAATGCCCTATTTTTATACAATGATTACATAATAATAGGTATCTATTTCCCGATGTGGGACACTATAAATGACTAACTACTTAACATAGAAGAATGAAGATCATGAGGAAAATGATACTTATGGAATATGAAGAGAATTATGTTGTTTTTCTCTGCATATATGTCCAGTAAAGCCTTGGTACTGGACTATCGAATCAGAATAATAGCTTGTTTGACCAAGCTTCTAAAATCTGCTTATTTTGAAAAACGTTTTTCTCAAAAGTGCTTTTAAAAAAAAAAAAATTTAGTGAGAAGTAGTTTTACTAATTAATTTAAAAAGCAATTTTGAGCAACAATTAGTGTTTGGCCAAGCTTTTTTAAAAGTGCTTTTAAGTATATCTCTTTTCAAAAGTACAACAACAATAACAACCCAGTACAATCGCACAAGTGATGTCTGGGAAGGGTAGAGTGTACGCAGACCTTACCCCTACCTTTAAGAAGGCAGAGAGACTGTTTTCAGAAGAACCTCGGCTCGGGAGGGGAAAAGGGGAGGGGCAATAACAACAAACAGATCTGACAACCGAAGCGAAAATACAAAAATAGCAATAGGTAATGCAATCAGAAAATCGAAACAAAGACAACAACAAGTAGCTACAGAAGTCTAGGGACACGAAAAAAATACGAAAAACACCAAGTGATGAATCAAAGCTATTGTTACAAACAAGGACGACACTCGGCTACCAAACCCTTAACCTTTATTCTCAACCTCCACCCTTTCCTATACATGGTCATGTCCTCAGTAAGTTGGAGCAACGCCATATCTTGTCTA